TGTAGATCTACCAAAAGTTCCTGTTGAGAGTATGACCCTGAACTTGTTCTCAGGTTTTGCCTCTGGGCAGCCCAGAAATTTTAGCCCCCCAGGGAAGACCAAATATTTTTGTTAGCATCAACTACTTAGTAACTATAAGTTTTGAATCATGAGTAAACAAAAAAAAAAATAGTTTTCATGAAGGCAATTTAGAAAAAAAACAGGTAAATACCAGAAAAATTTTTAAAGTTACTACTAATCTAAAATAAAAATTTAATATTCAGTGATAAAATACTGCACACATATTACATTTTCAGTTTCTTGTGTTTTAAACCACATTTGTTGACAGCAAAATATAAGCATCAAGTCAGAAATTTAGCCATCAGGTAATGATTTATTAGAATGTGGTATATCTACCTGAGAAAATGTACTACAACAGTTAAACATTAAGAAAACCATTTAATAGGGCTGAGAAATGTTTTTAATATAAATCAAAAAGAGCTGGAATACATGACTGTACATATATTATGTTTTCAATTATGTGAAAAATATGGATGCTTATAGAAAAAAGATTAAAGGATTATAGTAGCTGTTCTAGGGTCTGAGACTGAGTTATAATTTTTTTAATGTACTTTCTTCCAAAATGTTACATTATTATTAAAGCTTAATAACAAGCTCTTTTTTTAAGACACTTAAAATTATGTTTACTTGCTGTTTTAATGTCTTTGTCCAAAAGACACTCAGTTTTTAAATTGCCTTTGTCCAAACACAATTATTTTTAAGAACAATAGATGAAATCAAATGTCCTTATTCTTCCTAGAGACAAGTTATGTCAATTTTATCAAGTAAACTAATATTAAAATTAATATTACCAGTTTTTAGCTTTGGCTAGGTAATAAAAGTATACATGTCAGATATTATTTAAAGCACAGAACATCCAAGTAAGAAAAGAGTACCTATAAAGTAGAAACATTTATTAAATAAAAGAAATTAAATTCTCAAATTTTGTCCATGAATTGGTTTTATTATGATTAGACTGAATTTTTAAAATTTACTACTTGACAGTAGGTCTTTTAGAGTTTTAACTGTGAAATGGACTTTGAGGAAATAATTATATGTTTGGCTTCATTATGAACTATTATTTGATGAGTAAGTATTTGAGAAAAAATTATCCTGACCAAGAAATATTAGGGAAAATTAAGGACTATTAAATGAAAAGAAAGGAAATATAACTCCAAAAGGGTAAGTAACAAGAAAAACAGGAAGGAAAAAAATTAAAGCTTTTAACTGGCCTTGAGATTTAGTTTCCATTTAATTCTGCTGGATTGCTCTCTCTGTTGTCAGTCTATAATCTTAAATGAACTAGTTCCTCAGTCTCAACACTATTTTCCAACCTAACATTTAGTAAAGGCAACATTTTTTTGATTTGCTGTGGACAGAATTCTGATGACACAGCCACTCCTTGTCTTTCTTGGGCTGCCTTTTAACTACTTCCCTCTGCATTTTGAAGAACCCCTATATTCTATCTTGCAATCCCAGGAAACCTTTCCCCCCTTTCTATTCTTGTCTTGTTATGTTTTTGCGCATTAGGACAACATCCAGTCTTCCTTCCTTTTATTTCTAATTAACTCATGAATGCCCAGTGAAAATTAAGAAAGTCTTCAACTGCATTAAAAGTTGTAAAATTAAAAATTATGCCCTCATGTTAGCCCATGTTACTAGTGGAGGGTGTCCAAGTTCTTGAAAAAATAACTGGACAAAACGCACAAACAAAGCAAGGAAAGAATGAAGTAACAAAAGCAGAGGTTTACTGAAAATGAAAATACACGCCACAGGGTGGGAGCCAACTAAGCATAAGGGCTCAAGAGCCTGGTTACAGAATTTTCTGGGGTTTAAATACCCTCTAGGGGTTTCCCACTGATTACCTGGTGTACATGCTATGTATATTAAGTAGTGGTCCACTGTCAGTCTGATTGGTTGCAGGAGGGGACCAATCAGAGGCTGAAGTGAAGTTACAAAGTTACACCCTATGCAAATGAAGACTTTGCCCACTACCAGCCTGACTGGTTGTGGTTGTGGAAGGGGACCAATCAGAGGTACTTTCAATCTTTCATCTGCCAAATGCAGAAAAAGGTGGTGGGGTGAAGGGGGTACAAAGGGAGTAGCTTCTCGTCCTTTTGTTACTTGGGTATGGAAAGTTGGGGTTTTCCATTTTCATTAGTTCTAGGAAGTTGGCATAAATCAGCCTTAGGTTCCCTACCTCCAAACTCTGTTCTCCTGCCTCACCCATTCCCAATTTTGTTTTATAAATGACCTGTCACATTACGGTGAAAGTCATCCAGCCAGGCGTCATGGTTCATGCCTATAATCCCCGTACTTTAGGAGGCCAAGTTGGGCAGATCACTTTAGTCCAGAAGTTTGAGACCAGCCTGGGCAATATAGCAAACTGCTATCTCTACAAAAAATACAAAAAAACTGTAGTTGGGTGTGGTGAGGTGCAAGAATTGCTTGAGCTCAGGAGACAGAGGTTGCAGTGACATCGCACCACTGCACTCCAGCCTGGGTGACAGAGTGATACTGTCTCAAAAAAAGAAAAAAAAGAAAAAGAAAAAGAAAAAGAAAAGAAAAATAGTCATTTTACTTTGAAGTAACTCACCAAAATACTCAGAGAACAGAGGACACTCACAATAGGAATTTATACCAAAGGAAAGTTGTTTAGTAATGTACTAAGTATTACTAAAATATATGCCCCACACTAAAAGCGTATCACAAATACAGTAAGCAAGCGTCGCTCTTTCTCAGCATAAGATCAGGCCATGCCACCGATGGAGGCTTGGTAATCCTTGGATAGGGAAAGCAATAGAAATATTGACAAACACTTTTGTTCCCTATAAAATAGTATTAAATTACATTACAATTAAAGTAGCAATGAATATAGTGAACTTTACTTGGCCTGTATTTTCACTATAGCACTCTTACATCATTATATATTTTAATTGCGTTTTAGAGATTTTCTTAACCCGATTTACAGATTGGCTCGCTTAATGAACCTGTAAAACTGCACATTGGTGGCCTAGGGAAATGGTCCTTCTAAAAGAGCTTGCCTTTCATTTCAAGCAGCAACTTCTACTCTAGAGGAGATCAGTCAATTGGCATATTTTATTTTCACTCATAGTTTTGGGTGTTATAGCTCATGCAAAGTGCCTTTGTATTTTGGTTCACTGACTTAAGGTGCTCTGTGACTTCAACTTATAAATAACTAATGGAGACCTTGTTTTGTGATTGAAATGAGGGGCAGGTCTAGCTGACCCTTTTGATTCTCAAGCCCCTAGTGATATGGATGATATTCATAACCTTTTTCAGCCTCATCCTGCCTGTGCTTTTTGAAGTAAACTATAATGTGCTGACATCCATGACCTGTTCTTTGCTAGCCATTCTTCAGCTCTAATGGACTTTGCTTATTCACAGAGGATGGCACCTCTCTTGAACTCTGTCTCATTTCATTTCTTTTCCTTTTCAGATATCTCTCAGTTTTTCCCCTGCATGTTCTAAATCATTTTTGAACACCATAAATCTCTAATGTAGGAGATATTCCTAGTACTAAGGAATTTTGCTTTAAATTTGGTTTAATAGTGCTTTTCGTGCTTTCCCCACTCCATAATATAATAGTTTTAATGTCTCCAGATGAATGTTTGTAAGCCAGTCTATCTTAACTTTTATTATATCTCATATATTGTTTCCTAAAAAGGGAGGAAACAGTCTCATCTGTATGTATAAACAAGATGTAATTTTACAAATTTACCTATTATAAAAGTTGTTTAATTTTCTTCCCATTCTATAGAAGTTTCTCATTTCTGACTTTCATATTAGATTGTATTTACTGATGGTTTTAAAGTAATTATAAGAATGTAATCCAATATTTCCCTCTGTCACAATAAAATAGGTAACAATCATAATTCTAAGTCAATAATGCTATTTTCTTTATAGTGACTAATGTAATTCCATGTCTGGCTCACTGGAAAATAGTCATAAAAATGAGTAAATGTATCCCAGTATTTTTTCATTGACCTTCAAATGTGCTGTCATGTAAAAATTTGTCACGTATGTGAATGCAGTATAAATAATATGAAGCATTTGAATCTATGAATTACATATTTTTATAAATGAGTTAACCTTTACACTTTGATTCCTTTTATTGTTTAATGGAAATTCATTGATTGTGGTAAATATCATTTTTCACTTTTCAGCAAAAGTATTAATTTTTATTGATTTGTTGTTAAAGGCATTTGTAATACCTAACTATAAAAATATCTTTCTAGTCTCAATTTGCACATCTAGTAAATGGTCAGAATAATTAAAAGATACCTTGATAAATATTTCCCACAGTAAGTAGAACAAAGTTTTGTCTTCATGCTAGCCCCATGTCATTCAAACTGTCTCCTTTTATCTGTAATCAGAGGAGCCTTTTGCTGCTGAAGCACCATATTGATCTTTCTCTCATAGCTGTTTTCTTTAAGGTGGTTTTACTTTTTTTTTCTTTCTGGGCTGTTTACTGATTGAACAGTCATTTCATTTTTTTTTTGTTCCTGTTCTGCAAGATCTTTTCCTCTTTTAAACTAATGTGCTAATAAGTGTTTGATGTGTAAGATGAATATTTCTGTCTACAGAAGTATAAATCTGTTTTACCAAGCAAATAAATATATTTAGGAATGAAGGTCAGCATAATTTCAACAAATTGCATGGTACTTTTGGAGCAAAGCTCCTGGTCCTTTCATTCCTTACAAATGAGTTCCTCTTAGAGGTCACACTCTAAAGCCCAGGAAGCATAGACTATATTAGCATCCTATTTTCTTAGTGAAAATTATATCTGCCAATAAATACCTACATCTGAATATTAGAGAACAGCAAAAAGAAAACATTTATTGAAATTTTCTACCAGGCCATTCTGTTAATCATTTCACATATTTGATAGAACTCTTGGGCATCAAACGAACTCTCAGTCCCATTTGTGTTTTGTAAAGGTTATTTGATTACCACGGGCGTGTGCCTCCACCTCCCCGTGCAGTAATTCCACTGAAGCGCCCCAGAGTGGCAGTCACAACAACTCGCAGAGGGAAAGGAGTCTTTTCCATGAAAGGTGGATCGAGATCTGCTGCCAGTGGGTCAACAGGCTCTAAATGTAAGTAATGTTCTTCATTTTATTTCTCTTTAAAGAAGGGTGTGGTTAACTATCATTGCACAAATGCCTATATTCAATAATTTAACTGGATAGTTATGAAGTGCCTGCTATGTATGAACTATTAGAAAAATCATAAAATGGATAAGAAATGGTCTCTGCTTTCCACCATACTGTGTTGCAATAGGGGAGACAGACAAACATGTCTAACAAAAACCCAGGACCAATTTGAAAAGTATTTTATCAGAGCAAATAACACTGTGCTCTAGGCTGAGTTTGTGTCATATTAAAGTCTTAAAATATCATATGCTGCTTTTAATGAAGAAATAATTTTACTTCCAAAGGGAGTGCATAAACTGTCTTTTCAGAGAAACATGCAAAATTAGTTCATGTTTTGAATGTTTTAGAAATTAAGAGAGGCAAACTATAGAGGTATTAAAATCATAATTTTCCCTACTATGATAAATTATTATGAGACATATGTATCTGAAGATATATTTAATGTCATAAAAAGTAAAATAATATTTGTATTGTTTCACATTAATTAGTAAAAAGCAGCAATACAAACTTTCCAACTAAACATTGCTAAATTTTCATGTCTTTTAATTTGTCAGAATATTATTCCTAAGGAAAGGGTAACAAAATTTCCTATATTCCTTGAGATTGCCTTTTATCAGAAAGGAAACAGATCATAAGCTGATCAATAGGTAACAGAATAAACACAGAGAAAGTTGGGAACACTATATTTAATTGATTGAGGTGACATTTGACTAGAAACCTAAAGAATGTGAGGAAAAGAGAAAGTAAGCCTGAAACTGTCAGGAACAGAGAATTCTATGGAGAGAGAATGGCCAGTGCAGAGACCTTAAGTTGAATAGTCAAGGAACAATAATTGGAAGGCAGTGTGGCTGCAACAGAGCCAGAAAGGGAAAGTCTAGCTGGGATAAGGTCAGAGAGTTAGACATACAGCAAGTTCCAACGGAGCTTGGGAAGCCACTGTAGGGACTCGGATTTACTCTGCATCCCAACCATTTAATACAAGTAGGCAAATACTATTATCCCAGTTTTATTAATGAGTTAACACAGAAAGTCATATAGCTGATAGAGTAGAGCCAGAAGCAGAACCTAGGTCTCTTAGTTCTTATACCTATGTGCTGTCTACTGTAAAGCACTGCTTTTTATTTCAGCACTATGCCAAGAAAGAATTGCTATTGAAATACTTTGCTTTTACAAGAGAGCATGAAAAAAATAGTTCAAGATGCAGGAAGGTACTGATGCTTCTGAAAAACCTGAAGTTTCGCATGCTCAACGAGCTTTGTGGACCTAAGATAACTTCAGTAGCATACTAAATAGATTTATGGATTTCTACGTAATTATGTATTCATGTATCTATTCTGTAGATAGATAAATATAAATTCCTTTTTGGGTCTTAGTAATAAAAGAAAGGGAATTTCTGCAGCAACTTGTTGGAGGTTGGGTCATCCCAATGTGGAGTATGCACAAGTTTTTCTCTCTCAAAAGTATTCAAGCGTTGAAAATCTCAATGACTTGTTTCTTACATTGGAATAAATAAACAATGAGGTGGTTTTTATAGAAAGACAAATTGCCACAGTCAGCTACTTGGAGAAATAATGTGAAGAGACTTTAGTTTGTAACCATTACAACACATAACATAAGAATGTATTCTTAAATGCCATAGTAAATCACACATGAGATTTAATTCCATCTTTTCTTTCTGGTTTTTTTTTTTTTTTTGCAGGGGGTGGGGGTAAGATGTGATAGTCTTGAGAAACAGCTAAATCTGGAAATTGGACTACTAAATACAAACCAGAGATGCTTTGAAAGAAATATCGTGTGTTTTATTTTTTAGCAGCAATCATTCTTTGGAACTGTGAATCCAGAGTATCTTTGTTACACTGAAAAGCATAAATAAGCAATAGGTAGAAAGATAAATTTTGGGATATAAAGATTTTGTAAGGATAATCAAGACAAATGATCATTTAAAATCTATTCAGCATATTATAATTGTGTTAATTTTACTTAAGTTTTTTAAATGATATATCTTTATTATATTGAGCTTAAATCAAAAGGAAATGTTTCAAATAAAACACTGGGGAAAATCACTTTAAAAGATTTATCATGAGAATTAAATCTAAGCTTGGAGGTAGAACAGTCATGTGGCTGCCAGCATCAATAAGACGGCTCTAAGGGATTACTGCAAAGAGACAAGCAAGCCATAGGCTATAGGTACAACCCCAATAAGATACCTGAGTTGGGGAGCTTGGCAGGCCTGGTTTACATAGTAGAGAAGGGGGGTCCCTGGGCCTACTCCAAGGCAGCCGTGCAGCAGAGTTTCTGTGTAGTGGTCAATGCCAATCACCAGAGATTACCTAGAAACAGGGGCAGCCAGCCATGATGTACTTGAGCATGATGCCAGCCCCCTGTTATCATAGAATGACAACAGACTGATCAATTCTATTCATTTCATATAGTTCTATACATTTAGAGCTCAAGTCACAAAAGTTAACTATTGATTAGTGTTATTTTAGTGAAACAGTAATAAAAAATTATCTATAATTCACTGGCAAGCATAACTAGAATCATGATTTAATATTCTTTTTAGGAGCATATTGGTAAATTATATTATGTATACAAACATGTACATAAAATATGTATGTGCATTTATAAATATTCATTAATTGATAATACTTTTTATAATTAGGTTGCTTCCTGGAAATAACAAAAGTTTCAAACTCAAATCGCAAATGAGAAAGTGCAGTAAAGTTTAAAATATAGTATGTTAATATTGATATAATCTGAATAAAGACTTACTATGGTATATATCTTACTCTTTTATTAATAGCTGCTTGCCAGTATTGATGGTATGGCAAGTTCAGAAGAGGAAATTAATGTTATAGCTTGGATAATTTTCATTTCTTATTTCATAATTTGTAATATGATTGAATTCTGCTGAGAACTATATAAAGAAAAATATATTAATGTGGTAATTTACCAAAGACGAATACTGATAAGCATTTTAAATGGATTGCTTTAAATAAATAGATTGCCACTAGGTATTTCTGTCCCTTTTCAAACCAAATTGAACTAAAACTCTAATCGACTTGTCCTGTCCTGACATCATAGAGTCATAAAATAAAGAAAATGTGATATTGCAGATTGGCATTTTACAAAAGAGAAAACATGAATATCAGTGAGCTTTAGCTGTAGTTTCTAAGGGGAAAAATTGGTGTCCTCTGGAAAAAATATGCTATCAAATCAATTTCTTTAAGGAATTAATTTAAATTCTAATGTCTAACAATAAAGACTCTAGTAAGTTTGAATGGCTTTGGAGACCTGTCAATGAACTTTCAGTGACAGAATAAGTGACAAACTAATATCAATGCCCTAAAGCATCAAACAGGAAATTAAAGACAGTTCAATTAAAGTCAAAATTGAGAAATTATCCCCAGTGCTAAGAAAGCTTTCTTATGTTGGGTCCCTCCCCTCAAAAGCATGTGATTGAAATACAGAGATAAAGCATCTACCAGAGAAATAATATTAATACTCAGCAACATATCATTAAATATTCCCATCCATCCATTATCCTAGGCAAAATATATTCTGCTTTAGACATTTTTAAAGCAAGAAAGTACTATTGGCCGGAGAGGTTAGAGAAGGCTTAATAGAGGATTTTGAATTGAGTTTAGAAGAACCAGTGGATTCGAAAAGACAAAAATGAGAGAGACTTGCTTTCTGGGAACCAGGATGTGGGTCAAGAAGAACAGAGGCTTTGCTGTCAGATGCCTGGGGTGGAGTCTGTTCCACACCATACTACCACGGTAGCCTTGGGGAAATCCTTTAACATCTATATACCTCTAATTTCTGTCTGGAAATTGAAAATAATGTACTGTGTACCTAACAGCGATTTTAAGAACTACTTACGTATATAAAATGCTTAGGCACATAGTAATGTTTAATGAGTTTAATTATTGCTACTAGTACTATTACTATAGCAGCTAAGAACATGGAATATAAAACTGCTGTACCTACAAATCAATAGTGCCTCAGCCATTTATTATCTGTGCCTTAGTTTCCTCATCTATAAAATGGGAATGATCATCTTACTGCCTTCTCTGTAGAGTTGTTGTGAGGATTAAATGAGCTAGCACATGTAGAGCTCTTAGAACAGTGTCAGCTATTATAAAACTCTTAATAGATAATAAATGATAATAGTAAAAATAACTACTATATGAAGTAAATATTTATTGCTAGGAATGTCAGTTAATAAACTGAGGACATTATGATTAAACAAGATGTAAAATTGGGTAAAAGAATAGTGAAAAACTGTGCAGAATATTGAAGAGTTTGGATTTCATGCAGGAGCAAGATAAAAAATTCTCAGCAAAGTGCTACTGGCTCAAAATGATATTTTAGGAAACCTATATGATGAGTGTCATTAGTCGGCGAGGACTGCCATAACAAAGTACGGCAGTCTGGGGGGCTTAAACAACAGAAATTTATTTTCTCACAATGATGGAGGCTGGAAGTTGGAGATCAAAATGTCAGAAGGCCTGGTTCCTTCTGATAGCTGTGAGGTAAGGATCTGTGTCAGTCCTCTCTCCTTGACAGGTTGATTACCATCAACTCCCCATGTCTTCACACCATCTTCCCTCTGTGTGTGTCTTGTCTAATAAATTTCCTCTTCTTATAAGAACAAGTTTAGACCCCTCTGTGTTACAAGGGCATCACCTGTCCTCTAACTTCAGGCCAGTTGTTCACTTTTTTTTTTTTTTTTTTTTTTTTTTTTTTTTTTGAGACGGAGTTTCACTCTCGTTACCCAGGCTGGAGTGCAATGGCGCGATCTCGGCTCACCGCAACCTCCGCCTCCTGGGTTCAGGCAATTCTCCTGCCTCAGCCTCCTGAGTAGCTGGGATTACAGGCACGCGCCACCATGCCCAGCTAATGTTTTGTATTTTTTTTTTAGTAGAGACGGGGTTTCACCA